ATAATACAAAAGTAGTAAATGGAGAATGTAAAGAATGTCCATTACATTGTTTGAGATGTTCACATGATGAATGTCTTCAATGTGACACATCAAGTATTCTTCGAGATGGTAAATGTATTGAAAATATGGATTGTTTAATTACAAATGAATATGGAAGTTGTTCTAAATGTGTTTCAACAAAAGTATTGAATTCTGAGACTAGTAGTTGTGAACCATGTCCAGATAATTGTAAAGAATGTTTGTCTTCAACAAGTTGTAATGAATGTATGAATGGTTATGTTTTGTATAATCAAACTGATTGTATAAAATTAACAAACATAAAGTTAGAGTTGAAAAGATCAATTAATTCATTAATTCCTCATTGTGAAAAAGAAACAACTGTTGGATGTCAGCGTTGTGATAACAAGTATTACCTTACAAACACATTAATGTGTGAACATTGTATTGAAAATTGTGAACATTGTATTGATTCAACAACATGTCAGAAATGTTCTACAGGATATATTTTAAATAATAGTGTATGTGTTAAACAGGGGAAAAAAGGATGTAAAATTATTACACAAAATGGGGAAAACTGTGCAATATGTGAAGATGGATATTTCTATAAAGATGGAATTTGTAAAAAATGTGATCCTTCTTGTTTGACATGTTCTAAAACAAGTTTGTTCTGTCTTCAATGTGCTGAAAATTTCTATTTTGTTTCTTCAAATATCTGTTATAACTATTCAACTATTGAATATTGTTTAGCAGCAAATGAAAATGGATGCATAGGTTGTGAGAATGGAACATGTATAACAAATTATGATAGTGTTAATAAAATATATTTATTATATCATCAATGCCTTTAATATGAAGAGTATTGTATTATGTATAAACAATGAATGGTGTATACACATTATGATTATAAACATGCTTTGATATCAGATAAATCTTAATACATCTAGAATTATTCATTATACAAAAATTAAGAATTCAATTTGTGTTTCATGTGAAGGAGGTTATCAAGTTAGTAAAGATGGATTCGTTTATGTTGAGAACTGAAAACCTTTTATACTAGTTGTAGTTTCAGCAATTAGTTTATGTGATAGTTGGAGCAGTATTATTTTTTATTAAATTAAGTTATTGTCTTCTAGAAGAAGAAAAATATAACAAGAAAAAGAGGTACAAGTCTTTTTGATAAAACGGTTAAATCTAATGTCTAAATCTGTACTAAAATCACTAATTTACATTAGTAAAACAGTTTGTATTTTTGATGAAATGAAGATTGAAATTTCTATAGATAAAGAATCAAAAAAAAAAAAAAAATCCTATTTGTATTTTGGTAATTTAGAGAAAAGAAAACTAAAAATTTAAACAACATCGTCAGAGAGATGTAAATACGAAATTAGAACATAACCATCAATTATTTAATTAAAACATTGAGAAGTATTGAATTTCAAGTATTCATTATTCTGTATTGTAATTTTTCTATTAAGAGTTCAATTAAATTAGTTTATTTGGATTAAAAGAAATTATTCAAAAGGATATTGATATTAGAATTAATACTCAAACAGAAAAGTCTCTGTTTATTGATACTGGTGAATTAAAAGAAGATAAGTTTTTAGGAGAAACTTCTTTTGTATAGTATACAAAGGAGTTTATAGAAACATTACCGTTGCCATAAAAAAAGATGAAAACAATGATATTAATGAAATGGAAAAAGGGTTTGAAATGTTGATTAAGGTTATGAATCAAAATTACAGATTCTATGGATGTATTCAAGCTAATAGAAATGTTAGTTTTATGAGATTAACTGAATTTAAAACATTTGGTGATGTCATTCAAAAATATCAAAATGAATTTAAGAATTATTAGATTACAAAGATGTTGAATATCATCATAATAATGAATTCATTCAAGAGATATTAAACCTGACAATGTTCATATTGTTAATAGAGGTACTAATGCAGATATTTATTGTAAATTAATGGTTTTGAAGTACTCGTATATTATTATAAAAGATAGACATTTACAGCAGTATTGGAACTCCAAT